AAGGGGAACCAATTCCCCCCATAGGGGAATCGATACCCCCCTGGGGTTCTGTTAAAATCGGGCAAGAACACCCCAAAACCCCAAAACCTATTCCGCTGTTTCTCACCCTCAAACTCTCAAATCTCCATTCTTGCCTCAAATAATTGATTTTAATCGGAAATCACTTCAAATATCATCTCTTAAACTTGCAATCATCATTAAAATCGTGCAAACAACATCTAAATCCCCTCAATCTTCATCTTTCAAGGTAAATTTTTCTAAACTCTCTATTTCATTGATTTTGAACATAGGATTAGTTTTAATTAGTTCTAGGTTGAAATAGTGATCGGGCATTGATTGTTTAGTGATTAGAAACTAGATGTTACAACTAATTTCATCAAAAACACAAGAATTTTCCAAAAATTTTAAATTTTCGAAATTAAAAAAATTTTTGTTGTTTTTCAAATTATTGTGTTTTGATTAAATTATGTTGTTGTTATGAAAACTATACATATATTGTTTCTCAAAACCATATTTTTCAAAAGTTTTTCAAAAACTTTGCCCATTAGGATTGATTTAGAGAACCTTGAAATATTGAGGACTCAATTGAGTTTTGGGATTAATTAAATTGCATACATTTGTTTTTAAAATTGCAGGTTATCCAATCTATTCCGATTTCCTTCACTATATCTAATCCTAAACGTGCTAGGTCTTCATCTAGTCGTTCACACCGTCAACCAAATCCACCTCCAAATCCTCCACCTATTCCAATTTCTAATCCTAATCCTATTGATCCTAATTTGACTATCCAAAATTCATGTTTCAATCATCCTGGTCCTAGAAATCATCGTTTTTGGTATTATCAATATTTCGACTCTTACAAAATCCGAAAAGAACGTATTCCTTCTCGTCAAGCTATGTTAGCTATCAATTTTAAATATCTTCCTCTTTTACAAGAGTGGAAATTTGATAAACTCTTTGACCTTAAACCCATCGTTTACCACTTGTTCGTATTTTCTATTCTAATGCCGTTTGTGTTAAAGACCAAACTGAAACCGAAACCATAGGAATTCGTTCCTACCTTCTAGGACAATTCTTATATATTGACTCGGCTTACATAGCCAATACATTCGGATTAGATAATGAAGGGATTTCAAATGAAAAGCAGGTTTTAGGATCTCGTTATAAAAGAAGGGATAGTGCAAGTGTCCTAGACCTTCATGAACGTTTTCTTCATCTAATGATTTCTTGGTGGTTTCGACCATCTGGAGGTCGTTATTCTACTCTTAGAGCCTTAGATCTTTGGTGGTAAAATTGTTTCGAAAACAATATTAAAATCAACCTACCTCAGATTATTTTTGCTCAAATTGTTGAAACCGTAAATCTTGTTCCTAATAAAAAACTTTGTTCATCTCTTGTTTACGGTTGTATTTTGAGTAATCTGTTTTCCAATGCTGGACTTAGAGTCGGTCTATATGTCGTTTTTCCTCTTAAGAAACAAATTAACCTTCTTTCCTTAACGAGAGCAGGATGGATTAAGGATAAGGAAATCGGGGAATGGGTTCGATCTTCTGCAACTACTCCGGGAGCTAGTTCTTCACAAGCTCCACCCGAAGCTGACGAAGATCTCGAGCTTGAGCAATTAATGCGAGACATCGATGAAGCTGAAGATGAACCTGAGCTGCCCGAAGAGCAAGTACAACAATCGACTCAAATGCCTCCATATTTTCAATCTTTTATGGAGACATTTGATTACCGATATGCGACCATGGATTCGCGCTTTAATTCTATAGAGTCCCATTTATCCACAATGGGAGCTCAACAATTAGAAATTCTTCGGCAAATGCGTGCAAATAATGAAGCAACCAACGCACGTATTAATGACCTCACTAACGAAATGGCCGCTATGCGAGCTCGTTTTCCTCCTCCTGATCCGGATATGTGATTAAATGTTTTACTTTGTTTTCCAAACTTATTGTTTTAACATTTTGAATATTTTGGAATGTTTGAATTTATGAATGGTGTGAACTTATATGTTTGGTGTGATTTATTCATTATTGCATCATTTACATCATTATTAGCAATATGACCAATTTTACCATATCACATTGTTTATGAATATTGATTATGGAACTAATGGCTAACGGTTCTCTTGATTGTGATCTTAGCAGCTTATGCATACATATACCTAATCAATTGGCTAAATATTTTTCACGTTTATTTGAATCTTTTTGATTTAACAAAAAGGGGGAGAAGTGTGTGTTTTAAGTGTGTTTTTAAAATGATAAATGGGAGAAGTGTTAAAGTAAGGGGGAGTAATTTCAAAACTTGATTTCAAAATCTTAAAATTACTAAAATGTTTTGTTATATCAAAAAGGGGGAGATTATTGAAAACATTTTGATATTTCGATATAACAAATTAAGATAAATGAATTTTAAGATTTTCCAAAATGATTTTCTAAGTATATTCGATATAATTATTCGAATATCAAAATATTTCAAAAATCATTTTTAATCCTTACTTAAGTGTAAAATTAAGTTTTAATCTTAAAACAATTTCAAAATAATCTTTCAAAGTATTTCGAACCATTTCAAAGCCAAAAATTCCAGATTGCTCAGAGGGAACCGATTCCCCCCCAAAGGGGGTACCGATTCCCCCCTTAATGGTTTAGCTCCGAGATTTCCAGAATGCTCGGAGGGAATCGATTCCCCCATAGGGGGTACCGATTCCCCCCTGTTCAACGGTCGAAATATTTGAATCTTACACTTAGGGAACCGATTCCCTATGAGGCACGCTCCAAACTGTTTTATTAATTGTTTTCACACTAAAACGGCTATATGATCTTCATTAATCATCCCCAACGTTCAGAAGTGATTCAAGGTGTATTTAAACAAGTTCTGAAGCCCTTGATCAATAAGAAATCATAGAGAAACAAGAGAGAAAGCATCAAACATCAAGTTTGTGCAAATCAAGCCAATTTTCCTTTCAATATTCATTTTGCTTTCAAGGACACCATTTGTGCTCATTTATAATTATCTTTGAGTGTTATTTTCTTGTTCTAGAATTGTGCAAACATATTACCTTGTGAGGTTTTCCTTGTAAGTTTGCAAATTTGTAATCTTCTCTTTGGGAAAAGAGTGTTCTCAAGAATTGGGGTATATTCTTGAGGGTGTTGTAAGGTTATCTCTTTGGCCTCAAAAGAAAGAACAAATTAGTGAATTTGTTGGAAAATCCTTAGTGTGGATAGCTAAGGTAGTGGACGTAGACTTTGATTGAGAAAGTCGAACCACTCTAAATCGCTGTGCAAATCTTTTCAATTTTCTGCAAAAGCTTCCACTGAATTTTTTTTATTGCCAATTCACCCCCCTCTTGGCCAATTCTGTCGATCGATTAACTCAACACTGACCAAAGAGCCACTTGCATATCTCTATATGCTTTTTAATGAACGCAACATCCAATCGTGCATCCAAGGTGTTCTCACAAACAATCTTTCCATATTGAGATGCCAGCACAATACCTCCAGAGCAAAAAAAGACCATGAGCGTTGTGGTGAGAGGGTGCAGGGGAAGATGGACATCATCGATGAATATTTTCGGTGGATCAACATTAACTTTAGAAGCATATTCCCCTTTTGTTAAATCCAGTACAGACACCATTAAGTGCACATCATCTTTGCGACAACGCAGTAAGATAGCAGGTTCTTTCAGTCTGACTAAACTCTGAACAATGACATCTTTCAAAAGATTTTTGTACACACGGTGATCACGACTCACATTCAAAAGTTCCTTGGATGCCGATTTTTTCATTTCATTAACCACATCATCTTGAGCCTGAAGGACCTTGATCCTAGATGCATTAAGCTGTATCGAATACTCAATCTTCTTTCGAACTTCAACTTGCTTCTCCTTCTTCTCGTACTCTAGCATGATCTTCTTCTTCTCTGCCTCTACCAACTGAAGCTTCTCAATGTTAAATTCCTCTTCAGTTGAAACAAAAATCTCGTTAGCTCTCTCCTCCGCTTCTTGGCGGATGAAGCTCACCATTTGCTGGATCTGCTTGGATACATCTGAGTCGTTCATTTTCGTGGGGAAGTCACTCTCTTTTGTAATGAAATCGAAAACCTTCTCCATGAACCCAACGGGATTCGCTGGATCCAAGCTGGTAGTGAACGATATCGGTTTAGCAGCGGTTGCCACTGCCGAAGATGCCGATGGCATTTTCTCCTCCTCTTCCATACAGCGGAAGAAAACAAAATAAAGTCAGGATCATTTGGCGAATGATACCATATTGAGAAATCAACTACTTGTGAATTTTAGAAATTGTATTCAACACTCACAATACAAGAGTTCATCACCTGCTGTTATATACAGCTTACAATGCTAAGTAGTTAAGCTAACTACTGTTAACTACACTAACAACCTTATGTAACAAACTAACCACCTCAAGAACTCAACCACCCGAACCTAACTATACTGAACCTCAGCTATACTTTACAACTAACTTCTAACATTCTACCTACTTTCTCAACCTTCTTGACAAAAAGATGAACAATTGAGTCGAAAGTGCTGATGCTTCCTTCCGTTCACTTTGAATCGAATGTGTCGATACTTCCTTCCGTTCACTTTGAATCGAAAGTGCCGATACTTTCTTCCGTTCACTATGAATCGAAAGTGGCGACGCTTCCTTTCGTTCTTCTTGAATCGAAAGTGCCGATGCTTCCTTTCGTTCACTTTGAATCGAAAGTGCTGATGCTTCCTTTCGTTCTTCTTATTCAACTTCATTTCTTTCTTCTTCACCCTCTTTTACAAGGTTCCTTGAGAAATTTTTTTATGGACTCTTAGCTGTGAAGCTTTCAAGTCCCATGAAACTTTGAGATAGAAGCAACAAAATAAACAAAATCAATGCAAAATTAAACTTATGTTTACACACACAAAAGAATTATACTACTATGCAGAAATAACGGTGATAGCCTTGCCATTGGCACCAGTATAAAAACTGGATCTTGTTCAACATCTACCCTTCAAGCACCAACCTGACCAAAGAGCCACTTGCGTATCTCTATAAGCTTTTTATTGAACGTAACATCCAACAGGGCATCCAAGGTGTTCTCACAAACAATATTTCCATCTTGAGATGCTAGCACAATACCTCCAAAGCAAAAAAAGACCATGAGCGTTGTGGTGAGAAGGTGCAGGGGAAGATGGACATCGTCGATGAATATCTTCGGTGGATCAACATTAACTTTAGAAGCATATTCCCATTTTGCTGAATCCAGTACAGACACCACTAAGTGCACATCATCTTTGCTACAACGCAATAAGATAGCAGGTTCTTTCAGTCTTACCAAACTCTGAACAATGACATCTCTCAAAAGATTTTTGTACACACACTGATCACGGCTCACATTCAGAAGTTCCTTGGATGCCGATTCTTTCATTTCATTAACCACATCATCTTGAGCCTGAAGGACCTTGATCTTAGATGCATTAAGCTGCATCGAATACTCAATCTTCTTTCGAACTTCGACTTGCTTCTCGTACTCTAGCATGATCTTATTCTTCTCTGCCTCCACCAACTGAAGCTTCTCAATGTTAAATTCCTCTTCAGTTGAAACAAAGATCTCGTTAGCTCTCTCCTCCACTTCTTGGCGGATGAAGCTCACCATTTGCTGGATCTGCTTGGATACATCTGAGTCGTTCATTTTCGCGGGGAAGTCACTCTCTTCCGTAATGAAATTGAAAACCTTCTTCAAGAACCCAACGGGATTCGCTAGATCCAAGCTGGTAGTGAACGACACCGGTTTAGCAACGGTTGCCGCTGTCGAAAATGCCGATGACATTTTCTCCTCCTCTTCCATGCAACGGAAGAAAACAAAATAAAGTCAGGATCATTTGGCGAATGATACCATATTGAGAAATCAACTACTTGTGAATTTTAGAAATTGTATTCAACACTCACAATACAAGAGTTCATCACCTGCTGTTATATACAGCTTACAATGCTAAGTAGTTAAGCTAACTACTGTTAACTACACTAACAACCTTAAGTAACAAACTAACCACCTCAAGAACTCAACCACCCGAACCTAGATGAATTAAACCTCAACTATACTTAACAACTAACTTCTAACATGCCCACTGTTCCAGCCTTGATTCCATAACAAAAAATGTAATTTTCAGGCCTTTTAAGCACATTTTACCGAAGTCATTGTCCTGCACAGAAATCATGTAAAAATGCTCAAATCAATAATAATAGTGAACAATCAAGGAGTATTTAAGCATAAAATGTTGCACAAAATAAACACTAGTAATTTATTACATAGATTCAATAGTAAAAAAAGAGTATTATTCTTTTTATATATTTTATATTTAAACAGTAATAACTAAAAATTGTAATATATTTACAATTATTTTAAAATATTTTAAATACCTAATACCTTATAATTATTGTACTATTAAAAAAATTATTGATGAATTTGAAACATTCAATGCAAATATTTTTCATGTTTATTAGTGAAAATGATTTCTAATCTAAAAGTTTTTGAAAAGAAAAGGAATCAGACATTTGATTGGGATGTTGGAACATCAAAATCAGTGGTCGGAAGCTGTGAAAAACAGAATCCAAATCGAAAACTGGCCGTCCATTAGCGCTATCAATGGGTTTGGCCAGCACCGCCACGTCACTTCTGCTTCTATGGCAACAAAAGATTCCCGTACTATGTGGAAAAGACCGTATTAATAATTATGATTTTATGTATGAATTTCTTATTATATTGTTCATTCATGACAAAATATTTTCTTAGTACGATGACATTTGTTTAGGGAGAGATACTATTTCACTATTACCAATCGAGTAACAGATATTTAATATATTTGTATCTAATGTTTTTTCATAAAGTGATGAGAAAATGTATAACTTGTACAAATCTTTCCAGTTTGTAATTCGATCTGATACATTAGTTCACAAAGATTTTTATTCGATTGCAAATATTTCAGGAATACCTCTAACGGGACAAATAGTCAATTTTGAAAGGGCACTAGCAAAACCATGGTTTTCATAGCTTACAATCTTAAATGTAAAGGTTAATTATATCATACAAAATTCTGACTAAAAATTTTAAATTATTTTTAAATAGTTTTTAAAATTTTATAATTGAATCTTTAAAATATTAGAGTAAAGTACACAAATAATTCATTGATTATAGGGTGTTCTTTTATTGGGTTTATTGATTATTAAAAGTTACAAAATGATCCTCTGACTATGGAACATTGCTTTGTTGAATCCTCTAACTATCAAAAGTTACAAAATGATCCTCCGACTATTCATATGTTCCAAACATGTCATTTCCTATTAAAAAATTGACAACCGTCTGAGCTTAACCTATTGACTGAGATAGAAAAAATCAATGTCTAGTGACACCGTCGTTGCTTTTAAGCACTTGTTCGACTATATAATGTTTCAAGAATTGTACCAAAAACATAATATAAATAGAGACTCGATCCATAAAACGCAACTCAAACAATTCTAGGATTAGATTTTATCATATCTAGTGAGCAAGTTAACGTCCAGCTCAAATAATCGTCAATTTTTTAATGAAAAAGGACGAGTTTGAAATATATGAATAGTCGGTGACTATTTTGCAACTTTTAATGGTTAAGGGACTTAAAAAAGCAATGCCTTATAATAAGAGGATCCTTTTATAACTTTTAATAGTCAGAGGACTTAACAAAGCATCACCCTCTAGGGACCATTTGTGTACTTTACCCAAAATATTAATATGTATCAATAATTTCTCATTAATCTAACATTATCCAAAGTTTTAAATGTTAACTCGAATTTGATAATTAAAAATATTTAAAATAAATTAATCAAAATATAAACACACACATACATATTACAAAAGTCCAAATGCATACATTTTGTTAAGTTAATCGATTGACAGAATCGACCAAGAGGGGGGTGAATTGGCAATTAAAATTTTGGTGGAAGCTTTTGCAGAAAATTGAAAGAAATTGCACAGCGATTTAGAGTGGTTTGACTTTCTCAACCAAAGTCTACGTCCACTACCTTAGCTATCCACACTAAGGATTTTCCACAAATTAACTAATTTGTCTTTCTTTTGAGGACAAAGAGTAACCTTACAAACCCTCAAGAATTATACCACAAATTCTTGAGAACACTCTCTCCCAAAGAGAACAATACAAATTTGCAAACTTAAAATGAAATCCTCACAAGGTAGATTGTTTGCACAATTCTAGAACAAAGAAAAGAACACTCAAAAAATGAATACAATTGAGCACAATAAATGTTCTTGAAAGCAAAATGATTATTGAATGAAAAATAGGCTTGAAATGCTCAAACTTGAGGTTTGATGCTTTCTCTTTGATTCTCTCTTGATTCCAGTTGCTTGATGTTTCTTGTTATTGATCAATGGCTTCTAAGCTTGCTTAAATACACCTTGAATCACTTCTGAACGTTGGGGATGAATAGTGGAGTCAATATAGCCGTTTAAGTGTGAAAACAATTAATTAAAAACAATTGGGAGTGTCAGTGCATCGATGCATACCCATGGTGCATCGGTGCATCAGTGTAAAATTCAAATATTTTAACCGTTGGACCCTTAGTGCATCGGTGCACTAAGAGTGCATCGATGCATCAAGTGCATTCGATGTTTCAAAAATAGCCAGAGTGCATCGATGCATGACTGGTGCATCGATGCATCAAATGCATTCGATATTTTCATAAAATCCTTAGTGCATCAGTGCATGGTATGTGCATCGATGCATGAAATGCATTCGATGTTCAATTTAATTCATGGCGCATCGATGCATGGATTGGTGCATCGATGCATCACTCTGAAAAAATTGATTTTAGGCTTGATTTTTGGTTCAAAATACTTTGTGAAAATTGTTTCAAAAAATATATTAAGTATAAAACACAATTTTACACATTTAGTAAGGTTTGAAATTGATCTTAAAAGACTTGGAGTAATAATTTGATATTCAATTAATTGAATCGAATATATTTAAAAAACATTTGTAAAATCTTAAAATTTATTTAAACTAATTTGTTATATCGAAATACAAAAATGTTTTCAACAATCTCCCCCTTTTTGATATAACAAAATATTTGTGTTATTTTAAGATTTTCTAAAAATTTGAAATCAATTTCAATTTAGAAAAATTACTCCCCCTTACTATAACACTTCTCCCTTTTAACACTTAACATTTCTCCCCCTTTTTGTTAAATCAAAAAGACTTAAAATCGATTTGAACAAGGTTTTGAAAAACATAGCCAATTGATTATATATATATATATATATATATAGCTTAAGTTCTAAGATCACAATCAAAAGAGAGTTAGCCATTAGTTTCATAATCAATATTCATAATAAAAATGTGAAATGGTAAATTGGTCATATTGCAACTAAAAAATAAATGATGCATATGTTGTAATAAACCAAAATATATATAAAATATCAAACAGTTATCCAACGATCAAAGAAAGATAATCCAAAATGTTTTAATAATTCAAGATCAACCCAAAAACAATGAAAGATAAGTCTATTCATCCATTGAAGGATCGGGAGGAGGAGGGTAACGAGCTCTCATCTCAAGCGAGAGTGTATCCAAACGATCATTCATATCTTGTTGTCGAGCTCCCAAGATAGAGAGATGAGACTCAATGAATGTGAAGCGCGAATCCATGGATGCATACCGTAAATCAAATGTCTCAAAAAACGAACGAAAATACGAAGGCATTTGTTCTTCTTGTGGAGCAGGTTCCGGTGCAGGCTCGTCATCAGGTACGTGATCATCGATGTCTTGCATAAGTTGTTGAAATTCAGGATCATCGTCATCAGTCGGAGCTGGAGGAGGAGGATCACGAGAGGAGCTAGGAGCAGCTCGTGAGGAACTAGCTCCCGGAGTTTGCTTTCCGGGTCTAAAAACCCATTGACTGGTAACCTTGTCTTGTTTCCAATCCGCTTTCTTCAAGGATGTGAGATTAATTTGATTTTGAAGTGGGATATGATTGTCAAGAGAACGTCTAGACCAAGTTTGATAAAGAGGTTACTAAGAAGACATCCATAAATCAATGTTTCAACATGTTTTGAAGGAACAATGTTTATGATGTCCACTAGTTGACTGAATATAATATGGGGCAGATTTATTTTGATTTTATTTTTAATACAATATATCCACCATAAATCCCTAGCATGGGGAGTGGAGTACCTACCTCCGGATGGTCTAAACCACCAAGAGATCATCAAATGGAGAAAACGATCGTGATGAGATCGTAGAGTACTAACACTTGAGTTTGGAACATAGGGATATTCCACATTTTCACTTTCATTATATACACCATTATCATCTAACCCAAATCGGAAAGCTATAGTCTCGGGGTCAATATTAATATATTGGCCTAAAAGATAGGATCTAATAGCTATAGTTCCACATTGAGTTTCATTTTGAATACACACCGCATTGGAATAGAAAATGCGGACCAATTGTTGATAGACGATAGGTTTAAGCTTAAACAATTTATCAAACTTCCAAGCTTTAAGAATCGGAAGGTATTCGAAATCAATGTCAACCATAGCTTGAAGCGAAGGAATACGCTCTTCACGGATTCTATAAGTTTGGAAAGAGTTTCTGTACCTAGAGTACAATTCGTCTCTACGACGCTCAGGCATGTTAAAACAAGATA